GTAGATTTCCGTGTAAACTATTTATACGTTTATAAATCCCATCTCTCCTCCTTATTTAAGCTCCAAACGTTTATGTCCATTAACAGTTTGACACATTAAAATCGTTTTCTTTTTCTACTTTTTATAATACGGAAATTATTAATAGACAATCTCGATTAGTATAGTATTTCAAACGTGTTCAAAGTGACTATAAATTAAAACAAAGATAAAGTAAAATTAGTACTCCTATAATTAGGCAGGAACAAAATATAATAAGACAACCTAATGAAATATTATATCAATTCACGTCATAAAAAAAAAAATATATATTTTTTATTTTGTATTCAATGTTTATACCTATTCCAAACATCCAACTATATAGTGAGTTAAAAAAGTTTCCATGTAAATTGTGTTTATGTTGCTACTGATAAATTACGATTCTTGCAATATTTACTTTCTATTTGGAACATGTATTTGATTGTTTAATCGAATTTATTGACGTCAATTTATTTACAAAAAAAAATGAAATCAATTTAATCTCCATTCTGATCAGAATCTAAAACAGCTAAACTTTTATAAAAAGTTAAATAAACAAAAATCAGAAACTAAACTCAAACAACGGAAGACACGTACCGTTGCTGAGTTTATGAGTTACTATTTTAGAAAATGTTGTAGTCTTACAAATAGTGAGCGAGTCAATATTTTACTTAACAATATGTACCTACCTATTTGTTGTAGTAGTATTTAGGTCGACATGATGACTACTGAAGTTACTGCTATTGGACTAGAGTTTAAAGAATTCTACTTATTTGCATTCAAAATTACAAAATAACACAACCTGTAGTATACAATTTCCCTGATAAATTATTATTAATTATCAATCAGTAAAGTAAAATTTTCTTTTTCAGATAATATAATCTAATACTTAAGATTGTTTGTATCTATAGGATTATAATTTACATCATTACATGTAGTATTAGATCTCTAACTGTTTTTAGTGTATTGAATTATGAAATGAGGGTGAAACCTCACATCATATCCTTGAAACCAATTTGTAATGATAATATTTAAATATAATTATTATAACATAATAGTAATATTTATTTTAAAAATAATTGTTTTAATAATATTTTGTATACAACGAATTGCCGTCCATAATTTATTCAAACTGAAATAGACAATAAAACAAGAGATTTTGATAAACAGTCAAAGTCTAATAAAAATATTTTTACATTGCCCATCTTATCTTTGAACTCACCTATTGTCCCTTTTTAATCCCGCCAACACAAACATCCAAAATAATATATTCTCATCTCAACAAAAATATAATATTATACCGTATTATCTTTGTTTAACCCATACAGGCGTATTATTTAATTGTTTTCGTTTTAAATATGGCTTATAAATTATTTTCCAAATAACATTTTACCCACCATTTTAATCTTCGAAACACATAATTACTGTCAAAAAAAAGTTGAAATGAATAATAATAAAAAATAAATAAATATTATCCTTTGTTTTTCAGTCTATTTTTAATTTATCTGGAAATTTTTTGAAACAAAAGATATAGTCGTAATGTATATTATCTAACAGGTGGATAAAATGTAACAACTAATAATAGAATTTTTTTAAATTAAGTAACTTTTATTAAATGTTATAAATGTTGTTAAAACGGTAGTCGGGCTCCACAGCGTGACCTTGTGGACGTACAATGAGATACAATATGGTTGACAGCTTTTACACTTGAGGGCGCCACAATTATCTTACCAGCAGTAAACTAGCCATCTCGATTACTTAACTTTATTATTAATGTTATAATAAAATTCGTTATAATGTCCACTTGAGATTGATCTGTCCACATTTTCAGATTTCAATTAAGAATAATCGACGTTTAAAAATATCTAAATATAAAAATATTCAAACTAAATTTATAGAAATTTGGAAGGGGTGGGGGGGCGAAATGGAAAAAGTAGACTGATCAATCTCAAGTAGATATAGTATAGAATTCAAATCAGTTTTCAAAAGTATTATCACATTACTAGACTAATCAGTATCATAAACATAAGTTTGGCATGTTTTGGCTAAAATAACTGATCAGTAACCAGTCATCACTAAACAGATTATTCAGAAATATTAAATTTAATCATACTATAACTTTTCCAATTTTATAATTAGAATAAAACAATACTATTCTTGGATCCACGGAAAACAATATTGGAGTCACAATAAAATCATTTTTAGTAGCATGCGTACCTAACTTTGTAACCTAACCGAGAGAGTTACAAATTTAAAATTTTTCATTTTAAAATGAATAATAATATTATGTTAATTTAAAAAAATTAATATTGCCGATATAAAACCCCTAAACTAGTGAATGTGGAGGTACTTAGCCTAAGTACTTAACCTTAGGTGCTTACAGTAACCTAACCTTGCTGTAAAGGAACTTAAGGAGTTTAGAATCACTCTATTTCTAAGAAAAATACTTTCTATTTTGGTTGGTTTTATGTTGGCCGGTGTTTAGCTTCAGGCCAATTAAAATGTGAACTAAGGGTTATAGGTACTTGCTATATTTGTTTAAGTTGTATTTAGATTTCAAATAGATTCTGAGAATTAAATAAGTCCAAAGTTTCATCCCATTCTAGTAGGTATAGTATAATGTTTAACATATTATACTAGAAATATAATAATTTGTATTTATATAGAGCAAATGACTTGAGAATAGAATGAATGGTGACTACCATGTAAATCTTATATAATGACCAAAATATTTATGATGTGCCCAGGAACTTACAGAAAATGGACAAAAAACCATTTGTAAAATTATTATTGATTTAACACACTATAACGTAATTTATTATCGATATTAATTAATGCACACAATAAATGGTTAACGTATACATTTTACACTTAACCTATTCCTACCTACTGTTTCGTTTATTTGTGAATTGACTTGTATTAGTATATATATCATCGCTGATAAACTGTACTTTGACATTAATATAATATAAAATAAATTATATAGCCATATAATAGGTAACATGATATATTATGTAAGCATTTACGACCAGTTTTTGGACTTATCTTGATCATTTTTTGTTTATCTTTTATCTTATCGAGATAAATTGTTACAAGGTATCTAAACGTTCATCTAGATAAATTTTTTATTGTTAAAAATCGAGAAATTGTACAAACAAAATTTTTAAATATTTATACAGATTCTCAAACAAAGTTTATGGCTTATAAATAAAGTAATCATTTTTATTTATATAATTATTATTTTTATGTTTCTAGGGCCCAACTAAAATATACCTAAATTTAAAACCATTTAAAAAATAATCGTATCTTTTTTTTATCTAGATAAAAAAGTATTTATCTTTATCTTTATCTATATAAATATGAGTTGAGTTATCTTTTATATCTACCTAGATACATTTGAGTTGCAATATCTCTATCTTTATCTAGATAAAAAATACTTATCTAATCCGAACACTGTTTACGACCCAGGGGCCAGGATACAAAGCAAACGCCTATTTTGTAAACCAAATATAAAATTAAAAATATTTAAAAAAAAAAAATACATGAGTGTTTAATATTAGATCTTGATTTCTATCGAGTATCCACTTTAGTGAAGGTCATAGGATAACATCGATAATAATGATATAGTTGACTTTCATCCCTGGAACGTGAAGCAAGTTTCAGGGCATGTTTACTAATTTATTAGGTACCTGTAAAATATACCTTTTTATGGACCCAAACAGTATGCAGCCCATAGGTATTGCTCGCTACCATATACATTTTTGACTTTTTTGTAAAGTTTTAGAGTTGCACCCGTTCAATTAAATAACCAATAAAAACATAAGTAGGTAAGTACATTATAGTACATTAATTTATAGTGGTTTTGTAAATACAATAATATTTAATATTTGAAAAGTCCGTCTTTGAAAGTTGCGTGTCACGAAAATCTAGGTCGTCACAATATTTATCGTGTTGGACTTATTGTTATTGACTCGAAACCTAGAAGATAGACAAATTCCATTTCCTTTTTTTTTTAATTTCTTGACAACAACACTTCATCGTAATTAACCGATAAATAAAATAATAAAAACACAATCAGTTAAATTTTATAAATAACAAATGGAAGGTTTTATTTAAAATTTACACGTACAGTAGTTGAAATACAAAATATACATTGGCACTATTATAGATTTACATAAACGCGTCGGGGTCTAATAACCGGCACAATATTCCGTCGTATACGCGCGTAAATTGTGTAATAACATTGTTTTTAAATTTTTTTTTCATTATATTACATAATAATAATAATAATAATAATAATATAATAATACAGGTAATCATAATAATATATAATAATAGTAATACAATATTAAACCGTCGACGACGAGTATTATAGCACGGCAATAAAAAATATCATATCGTTCGGAAACCGTGGTTGTCGTATGACAGTAATAATAATAATGATTATTATTGTTACGACGCCAAAAGTGGAGACTCATATGATATATATATATAGGTCGGAAACGGGCGAACGATATAATGATATGTTTCGCTCTCGGGGCCCTGGGTGTACTTGAATCAGTGCCGGGGGGAGTGGGTGTCTGATGGGGTGGTGGGTGTCAATAAGTCGAGTACACCACGACGGTATACACAATTCGCCATGGTATGTAAGAGGCGGTCACAAAACGAGGTAACCATATACCATACACTACGACCCGGCATCGTAATAATATAATATTATTGTTATTATAATGGTCGTCGGAATCACCACCGCTGGACGACACCGATCGGCGAGCGTGACAAAGACACATAACATTACTTCGCAGAGGTATTATTTTTATATCAAATTTTTTTTTGTTAATACTTTAATGATATCGTGTGAACGCGACTCGTCGTACGGCGATGGGGTTACTGGCGCACCCTGCTGCCCGGGGTTGGCGGCGGACGAGGTCATCTGCGGAGTTATAGTTTTCTATTTAAAACGAAAAATCGGCCGAAAAAAACGTTCACGAGATGTTTTGAGAGCTACTGACTGCGCCCGCCTCGGTGTAGCACGGCGACCTTTGCTGCTGACCGACCACGTCTGGCGGAGCACAGTCACGACCGTAGCCGTTGGTGTAGCTGTTGGTCATCGGCCCGATGATCGTAGGGTCCACGTAGTGATAGCCGTTGGATGAACAAGTGGTGCGCATCTGAAACGATAACAATATTTTAGACACCGGTCATCAGGATGGTTGTGCCAACATTTTAGGGGTGGAGTTACAGTGAGGGGAACGTGGTAGATCTCCCGACCCTGAGTAATTTGTTTGTTGTGTATATTGTATTATAATATATAGTCTGTTCATTTTAAGAAGCGATTCGGCGGCCACTAGTAAAACCGGTTTTCAAGCGTAAATCAGGTCGCTTCTTATTTTGAACAGGGTATAGATGTATGATAGAATTATATTATATGACACAGATATTGTCGTTAGTGCGAATTTACGATTTTTTTCTTTGATGTCTGTAGTCGAAAAGTGTCATCTATAAGAGTGGATTTATAAATTTTTCTCCATAAAATTGTTTTTTATTCGCTTAATAAGCGTCATACTATACTTTTTGTGTTATTTTGCAATGGATATAACATGTTCTAGGTAAATTACTTTTATAAAAAAAAAAATAATGATGTGCAGTCACGGACGGACCACATTGATTTGAGATCGTCGAGATTAAGAAGGTATATATTATTTTTTTGATGAAATGTTAGTGCTAGGAAGTTTTACCTGTTTGCATAACATGGTAGATGTAATAGTTTTATAGTGGCCATCGCAGACTTTTTATAACGTTTTACTACAGTTATTGTATTTTATACCTATTTCAAAGTTCTCTGTACTTATTTAATGTAGGTACAAATATAAATAGCTATGATCAGGATTGACAAAAGAAAGGTTCGGTGGATTGGCTTTACTGCATGTACATAGAAACATTAATATAAATATTTAGCAAATAATCAATACTTTTTCAAATTGAAAAAAAAAAATGTTGAATCCATTGTTAATTATAACAATTTTTTTATATAGTAAAGATACTATTTATTGATACTATTTATTGATTGTGATCATATGACTTCACGACTATTTATTTTAGTATGTTTATTTAGTATTTTATTTACATAATATTATTCATACGATACAATGAATTCAAAATTGGTCAATAGGTAATATTCTCGACAAAGTTTTAAGCTAAAATACCTACCCAACTCAGGCATATCTGTTTATTTTCAAAAGTTTAAACGATTTTAGTTACCCCTCCAAAAACTTAGTAAGATACATCCCCGAGTCCAGGGCTCATCTATTTTAGCCTGAACTTATATGATTTCAATTTAACACGAACACTATTATTTTTTTCCATTTTAAGATCTTCTTAATTTTTATTATCCAATAAAAATGCTTTTGAGGGCTTTTACAGCATAATATTTTGATTATTAGTTTACCATGTGAAATATACGCATCCTTTAGATACCTATGTGCATTCGAGAATATTTTAGTGACCTATGTGTAGGAAGCTTACCAGGGCTCGCTGCCTAGACGAATATGGCGGGTAATTATTGAACCTCGAACCGCTTTTGTTGCTGTGGTGAGACACTTCGCTGAACGTTTTCCGGCCACAACCGCTCAGAACGACTGACACAGGAACGCCTTGCATGCTCCCACAATCGTCTACAGACAGAATTATAAAATATTATTATTAGGTATATGAAAAACCATTAATCATAATATTATCATAGTATAATAATATCATAACAGTTTTATAATTATTATTTTATGAGTTATGTCTCCTCGTCACACGACCTAGTTGTTGATATAAATATTTAAAATTTTAATTTTTAAATCTACAAACTCAGATACGTCGTGCAAACAAAATATAACTTTAATATATTATGCACAAGTACAGTCTGATTTTAAACTTTTGAAACCTTATTTTATTCTACATTTTTTTTTTTCGTTATCCAACTTTTTTGTATTATATTTTTAATTTAATAATTCTTCCGCGCTATTATAATGTATTATACTTGAATAGCTGGTTGCGCACTTGCTGTTATTATAGGCGTTTTACAAAAGTAATTTAGTTTTATATTTTTTTTAACCTTGAAATTTATTTTCATACTATTCATAATCTCATTTCGAGTTTTTAAATAGTACATTTCTAGAGAGAGCAGTAAAAATATTTCTTTTAATTTTTCGTTCAATTTGTGTTTTAAGTATTTTACAATGGTATATTTGTATCCACCATTGTGTCTTAAGTACATGCTACATCATGAGTTACAAGCACATAATATAGTATACTTAGTAGGTAATATTTTATATTGTGTTTATTTAAATTAACAATTTATAATATTTGTTTTTATAATTATCCATTATAATATACACTTAAAACAAATATAATCATGTACCTGCGCAGCCCTGGCAGTCATTATTACTCGAACAACAGCTATACCCACTTTCAGAATATATGTTCTGATTACGGTTATAAATATTGGCCGAAGCGTAAGCTGTATCATCGGAGTTACGTCTCATCTGAAAAAAAAAATATGATTATCAACTCTTCACATTTGTCAATTGAGTAGTTTTTAAAAATGTAAAAAGTTATTAATATGTTATAATAATATAATTAATTTCAAAATGAGATTTTTTTACATTTCTAGAACTCGAGTTCGACACCAACGTAGTCGTCGCGTAAGGGGCCGGAGACGACAGTTCACGATCCTTTAAAAATGTACTCATTGTGTTCGGATTCACTTCTGCATAGTCGGCGATTTCTGGTAAGAGCTGTTGGCTAGAATCTTTTTCGTTACTATCAATATCATGATGCATCCTGGAATATTTGTAGATTTATGATGTTATTATTAAAAAAAAATATTAAAAACAATATTATTTCTGAAGAAAAATATTATGATAAATACCAATTGGGTTTGTGACACGAGTTCGCGTCGATGAATAGACACCGTTGACTGTTCGACACGCTGTGTTCGGATTGCAAAAACGACGCTACCTGTCCTCGGTGTGACACGTCCAAAGTAGTTTTGAAACCAGACGAATAGGACAGTTTGTTGGCAGGGTTTAATGAATCTAAACAGATGAAGGTGGTTAGTCAATTTGCTGAAAATCAGATAGCGTGCACAGCGCACTGAAAAATACCAAAAACATAGTTACCTCCTAAGTGCGATTTTTTAGCACCCAACTGACGGTATCTGACGAAGAGTACAGCGGCCAGTAGTATGACCATTAACGTAATGACTCCGGCCAACAACAGGATGAACCATGGTTCAGCAACGAATTCTTTGATTTCTTCGTGATCAATGACCGCGTCGTTAAATTGACTAAACAATCGAGCAATATGTTATTTTAAATAATAATAATAATAGGAAAGGTTTTCGATAAAAAAAAAACATGTCAACAGTGATCATACTTTATTTGGTTCATAGAATCCGTCGGCAATATGATCGAATCCGTGTAAGGGCCGAAACCGATTTTCGTCGCTGCCGCGATCATGACCTTATACCGTACACCCGACGTGAGGTTGGTCAGGAGCAGAGTGGGTGTACTGGCACTGACCGTCACGTTGCTCAGCACGTCCCAACTGGCACCACCTTGTATGACTACCTGGTAACTGGTGATGACGCCGTTGTGCGAGTTGTCTGGCGGCGGATCCCACTTCAGGTACACCGCACTGGAGTTGTACGCAGTCGGTTCGATATGTTGAGGTGCTCGAGACGGGCCTACAGCGACGAAAATATGATAAAGTTGACAAGTGCTCAAGCAATAAATAAAAACACTCCACTAAATTATAATAATATTGTGTTGTCCTTACAGTCCTCGTGTGTTTTTGCGGTCCTTGAATTCGAAGGTCGACCTTTGATGTGTCTGTAGAAAGGCACCAAGAAAAATAGATATGTGACCGACGGCTGTAGCGAGTTGATCACGTACGCTCCAGACAGTTCAGTGGCGTTCGATAAGAGTTTCATGAACGTGGCATTTTGGCCGGTCGTGTTCTTACTGCGGTAGTACAGATAAAAACCTTCCAAAAACTCTCCGTTGAGAATCTGAAACGACGACGGTATTATTATGATATATTAATGGCATTACGTTTGCTGATTATTATAGTGGGTAGAGTATGTGGTTTCTGGTCGTATCGAATCGACGCGATGGATATTGGCTGACACTTACCTCCCAGAAAAGTTTTATTGAAGTCGAGCTGACAGTCTTTATATCGATGAGGTCTACGATATGGCCTCCGAACAGAGTAGACTTGGCGATGGACATATCGTGGGAAAACGATATGCTCTGTCGGTACTCTGTGGGCAACGAGATGCGGTTGGACAGGTGGCTAGGTGCGGAGAGGCCATGTGAGTTTTCGGCGCGCACAACAAACAAATAGGACTGGCCAGGTTTTAAGAACGACTGCGTGTAGTGAGTCGAGTGAAGTCTCCGAACTAACGTCGCCCATCCGAGATTCTCGACGCAAGAGAACATTTCCACCTGGAAAATCAAAATACGCCAATGACAAACGGACGAATCGCATCACTAGTATATTTCACATTTCGTTTTGAAATTCGTATTGCTCCCGCGGCGACCTACATTCCTAGGACATCGATACCTAAAGTTATATACCAAGCGGTACATTGTGCACTCGGAAAATTATACCTCCGTCGTCTTGTACCAGGTCCTAGGAATGCAGTATACCTCCATGGATTATTAATAACATCCATATTGGAATACCACGTCGATAGAGAAACGAGTCGCGTACCTGATAGCCAAGAAGCGGTGACGATCCGACCTTGCTGCTACGACCCCATGACAGGGTGACTGCCGTGTCAGTGTGGTTGATGACAATAGGCGTGCTAGGAGCACTGGGGAACGTCGACGTATCCGGCGACCTGAAAAAACCCACGTTGGGGTTTTTCGGCGATTCCATCTTTAGTTCGGCACTCCACGTGGCTTTGCCGTTGACAGAAGACGCCACGCATGTGTAAACGCCGTTGTCGCTCTTTTGCAAATCTGAAAGCAAACAATGGTTTTAATTTTGTTCCTTTTTTCCCCATTAACATTTTATAATATAATATAACAATATTATAAATATTACATATTATATAAAGAGTTTCGCATTGTCTATTTTCCTCATCACTCACGCTCCTACGAATTCACTCAATACCCTCACTATAACTGTATTGAATTTTAAAAGTTAATAGTATACATAACTTAATAAATACTAAAATTAAAAATTTGTACTTGTTATATTCGAGAATTTAATAATTGTTTTATGTTGGTGTTATGTAAACCAAATAAATGCTTCAAGTTTAAATAAATTGCTTTAGCTCTCAATAATGTACTCAAAAATAGTATTAAAAAAATGTAGATAAGTTATTGACAAGGACACAATGCATGGTAATCCGCGCGCTCTAGTGTATGTGAGGATACTCACTCATTATTTGGAGTGTGCCGGACTCAGTGATGTTGATCCTGGCGATTTCCGTCGACAGCGGCGAATCGTCCTTGTACCACGTGATCACGGGCTGAGGGTTTCCGATCGCTTTGCATACGAGATTACCAATCGAACTGTAAGGCAGCGTCTGGTTGGCTGGTCCGTATTCAATGATCGGCGGTAAGGAATCGTCATACGCGGCCCCCGCCACCGTCAACGTGGCTCGCCACTCGTCCGAGCCCGCCTCGTTGATGGCCGAACACATGACGACCAACTGGTCGTGTTGTTCTTTCCTGACGTTCTGCAACAAACGCGGGGCAATAACGGTAATCGTGAAAAAATATTTAATATTTTGGCAAGTTTGGCTTAGGTAGGTACCGAAAGTCTGGACATAACTTCCGGACTTTCGGAGAACGATGACGGGCTAGAGTAGTAGAGTCTAGGCGGCTAGACGTAACTACAGTATCATAAATGTTTACAAACTTACGTGTACGACCAGCGTGGACACAGAATCTTTAGTGTCTTCGGCGTGAAATTCGTTCCAGCTCTCCTCGGGGAATAGCACGGTGTCGTTGTCTTGCAAGGACCAGAAAATCGTCGGTATGGGATTACCCCGGACACCGCACTCAAATACCGCATTGCTGCCAGCTGATACGTGTGTATCTGCAGGTCTTTGGGCGATTAACGGGACAGCTGAAATGGGACGAAACAAAATGTTTTTATTACAACGAATGAAGACAAATAAGTGACGTACTATGATACAAGTGTGCGATCAACTAGGTATATACTACAGTTATATTGCTCCTGATAAAAAACCGTAGTATTATACGACATAATATTATAATTTATCATGAAAAATAATTCTTAAGGGTTTAAATGTGAATTTTTAACTATTAATAATATCCATATTTACTAAAAAATAAAAATATCTGCTCACTAATTTATATCCAATCCCTTTATTTAATGTCGTCCGTGTACTCCCTACAGTCAGATGAATTTGTCGAGTAACCGGCATCAATCAATAAATTAATTATTTTATAAAATCGTTGAATTAAAAACAATTTCTAGCACAACTCACAAGTCAAACAGGAAATTTGGTTTGCTTCTACTTCCCGATAAAGGGATTTCAAGTTGTTTGATTGGGGTGAATACGAGTGTATTTGGTGTTTTGTAGTATCCAGGGTTAAGGGTAAATACTTATTTGAAACAAATTAATCAAACATCCTTTGATACATACCTACATAATATATAATATGAACTATATATAGTATTTACTTATTTAGTGGGATCGATGCGTAGGCACTAGGAACAATGTCCATCATTTGCAATTATTAAATAGTTTTTAACACAACTCACGTGTTGTGTACGATATAAACTAAAATAAATAATTCATGATTCCATCAAATAATAATATTTTAAACAACTGTATGGAAAGATAAATAATTGTTAAAAAAAAATGATTATTGCCATACTTTTGTCGTGAGAAGTAAATCTGTAGCTGTTCGGATGCTGGATAAAAGCATTTCAGCGTTTTACAGAGTTATATAGAACGAAAGAACTTTAATTCTATCATCGAGTCTAGACATTTTATAAAAGTTGTTAAAAAAGATTTTGTTTTATTTTTTACAATATATATCATGAAATGCATTTTTCATATTATAGTTTAAATTTCATAAATCAAAATTGTATGGTTTTAAATTAATATACAAGTATATTAAATTATTTTAATGTCATAAAATATAATGCCTGCGTACGTGTCAATTTATAGTTATTTTATTATTTGAAATATATACTTCGTAATCGTATTTAATATAAAAATACAGTGAGCTTTAATTATAATAACACTGTACAATAAATAATAATTCAAACGCAATTTATTATGGTACCTACCTACATAATATTAATCGTATAACACAGTGATTTCAAGTTTAACAAATGTGTTTAATGTATGTAGATAATTAGAAATTATTATAAAATGGAAAACGTCATTTTCGAATTATTTACCAAATAAATAATAAATTAGATGCAAAGCAATATATGATGTTTCAAACAATTTAACAAGTATTCGGAATATCCACCACATTACGTAGTTATTCAACATGACAAGGGTAAAGCTGTTAATGTTTATATGAAACGCTAAATTGCCACGGGAACATTCAAATGCGACGAAACAAACATATGTTCAATTCGAATGTTCACCGACCGCCGCGTTTTCGGCGACATCCTCTGTGGATTGTAAAACAACGAACGGCCGATCCTAACCGTGGTAATAGTAATAGTTATAATTAAACAATATTAAATTGTCTCTAGAAATTTAATACGAATAATATATAAATATAAACCTATAATCGGTTTTCATTTCAAACGGCGTATTACATTACTATTATTATGATCGTTTTAATGATATTAGGTATCATCAGATGAATAATAAATATTTTAGACCGTTATGACCACGTGTTATCACGATCACACTGTATGCGCAGCTGTGTACAACACTCAAATCATCAGAAACAAATCGTCGTCATAGTAAGCAAAATAAAATTATGGTTATTTCATTAAAATAAAATAACTATTGACGACCGTGGTACCATCCATACCACGGTACACGTACGAAATATTTCGTTGTCATGTGTGTGAATAAAAAGATATTATTACAAACGCACATGAGTCACTACGAAATCGTGTCAAACGTACGTTCGATGATGTTTTTGCCCACATTCGTTGGACGACTTACTCGAGTACACCTACGACCCATAATACTCGTGTAAGGTTTACCATGAATACATTTTTTTCGGTCAGTCATAATGTGCAGCATTTCCGGCAGCGTTTCGTTTTATTCGTCTTGCACGACGGTCGTGCAAGGAGATTGACTTTTCGACCGCTTTTCGCCCTCGGACGACCGCCCCACGCAGCGGGGGCAGTAAATAACAACAGTATAACTATCGACGAGCGTATTATATTATTCGCGTGGCTTGCAGTGCCAAACAAACTTTTCGGTTTGCCCGGACCGAAGTCCTCCGATAGTCCTGGGCGTGGACCGTGGAGGACAAACCCAAACGGCTCGCCGGTATTATGGTGCAACCCTCCTCCTTCACGTTCACCCACCTAGCCAACCGCGTGAGTATTATTATGGGCTGATTAAATCGGCGGCGTTAACAACAATTAATACAGCGGTAGGAGCAGTACTAGTAGTGCTTTGGACGGTGGTTGTTTTGCAAGAGTCAAAGATTTCCGTCCGTTTGGCAACGCGTTCGGTATTGAAAACCGTATTGCCGTAATATTTAGTATTTATGCGTGTGAGTGGGAATTAAGCAATATCATCTAAACAAACGCACACTAGTCACTAAAAAATGTGGCAAGCCTATACGTCTGCAGTTTTTACCGACATTATTATTGGACGACTTGTTGCTCGAGTACCTACAATATTATAATTGTCTACTATAGATACCTACATTTTTTTTCGTCTGACATAATGTGTGCATTTTCAGGATAGAGATTTGTCCGCCGATTTCCGGCAGCGTTTCTTTTTGTTCCGTCTTGTGGAACGATCGTGCTAGGAGATTGACTTTTCAACGTCCACCTCACCGCCCCACGCAGCGGGGGTAGTAAATAACAACAGTATTATTATCGACGAGCGTATTATATTATTCGCGTGGCTCGCAGTGCCAAACAAACTTTTCGGTTTACCCTAAACGATGTCCTCCGACTGTCCTGCGGCGGCCCTGGGCGTGTACCGCGGAGAACAAACCCGAATAGCTCACCGAAATTATTGCGCAGCTCTCTTCGAGGAAGTCTGTGAGCAAATTTCGCACCCACCCCGCCACCCGCGTACGTATATTACTTCATTTGGCGGCAGTAAATCCTATTGCCCGCTGATTAAATCGGCGTTAACAACGTGTTACTAGTAGTATAGTGGTGGCAGAAGTCAGACAGACGACGCGGCGGTGGTAGAAAAAGTGGTTTATCAATTCGCTCGAGGACGATACTTGGGCAGAGCGTGGAGGCGGTGGTTCTTTGGGAAGATTCGAAGATTTCCGTGTCCTTTTGGCAAAGGTTTGTACAATGTAGGACTCGCGTTCGGTCGCGAAAGCCGTATTCACAAGAGTGTAGCGCATTTCACACACACACACACACACACACACACACACACACACACACACACACACACACACACACGCGTATATAAATGGTGACGGTGGTGGTGGCCGTTTGATTAATGAGCGCACCTCGATCTAGACCGTCTGTGCACGAAAACGGGACGAGGAGGACTCGCGCGAAACAAAGGCCTCGAGAGATAATGGGCGAAGCTCGAGAATAGAAGTTGCCGAATTGTTTATATCACTGTAGTGCATGCGGTGGATATACGACACGAGAGAGGTGTGGCTGTATATATATACTTATAAAGGCCCCCCGAGCCCTATTTATATTATGTGTACGTACATATTATGTATATACGTATATACAATATAGCTATATACGGACGTAGCTATATAAGCTCTCTGCTATTGCAGTTGTGTATACATATATATAAGTGTATTTATAAATGTTTTCTTGCCAGGTTTCGAGACGGCAACCGTTGCCCGTGGCGCGGCGGGTTGGTATCGCTCGAGACGCGTATAGGTATATATTATACGTGACCGCCGTCGTGGTGAGCGGAGGGGTTGAAAAAAACCCGTCGAAAGTTTTAACAGAGAAAATAATTAAAAGCTTAAGACCACTACCACCACCGTCGCCGTCGACCCAAACCCTCCCACCCGCGGATCGAGGAGAAAATTGTCGGGTGAGGAACACCGAACGTCTGCGGACTATATAGGTAGAGCTACGCATTATTATAGGTGAGTGGCGGCTGCGGCAGAATAAGGTGCTTCTGCGAGCGAGATAATCGCGGCAAAAAGTTTGCACTTAAAATTCAGGTTTATGTACACTGCACACGCACGGCGGATAAAAGAAAAATCTAGTATAGGTGTATTATATATTTTTATCCGTCCGAGGTGCCTTGTTGCGGCGCTCAAAACTGTATATCGGCTTGAAACACTATAAAAGCAAAAGATATTATTTAACGCATCTTCTGTATGTTATTATTATTATTACACGTTTTTGCGTATGTATATAATACAAAATGCAAGATCATGCGTACATTTTTCTAGCCCGGCGTTTGTATTGGTTTAGGTCGTCGTTTCGAAAACAACGAGCTAAATAGGAATTCTCGTTCGGCGTAGCTAATAATATTATATGACCACCGGAAAACGCAATATCTATCATATCATATTATTAAAATGTAAACGATAAACGGGTCTGTTCTGCGAATTACCGTTATATTGATCCCATAAATTATTATACTCTGTGAAGTGGCCATCAAACGAAATTTTCCGAATTTGTACCGCTCTCAAAACACAAGCGGTTTCAATTTGTATTTTCCAAATAATGGATCGAATGTAAATCTAAATAATTCGTGGTAGGTATTCCACGAAAATTCCAAACGTTGTAAAATGACAGGTCACGTGGTTTTTGCCACTTTTTGCTCACTAATATTGTGTTACACTTACAGCGGTTGAAAATAATAATGACGTGATCCAAAGTTGCATCGTTCGATATACACCCGACAACAAGTTAGTTTAGTCATTTTGGGGGGGAGGCTATGGCCCCCTTAGCGCACCTTGGCTACGACTCTGCAGAGTTCAATCTCACCATAATAATTACGACACAACAATGTACGGTTAGAATGGAGTATGGAATACTATAAAATACATACGTATATATGTGTTTTTTTTTTTAAATTTCGATTGTGTTGGCTATCTTCGACCAGATTGTTTCATCCCAACACGTTAATGTTCGTTGTAGAAACAGCCTGTATATTGGCAATATAATAACTGTTGCGCTGAAGTTTTGAAATTACGACGTCGAACGGACCGGAGCGTTTCACCTCTGACTTTACCGAACTTTGAAATTATTATTATTACTATCGAACACGAAAGTTTTAAAATCGCTCTCGAATAATAAACACATCCGGACCCTATTTCCGACTAACGACTTTGCGATAGTAATATCTTGTTTATCTTTGAGCCCTATTGGTTGGTTTTGCGTTCACGTTAACACCAAAGAGGAAAATATATAAATCGAAAAGCAGCAGTGTGCGACGCAGATTGTTCACACCTACGATATCGTATTAACATATTATTACCAAGGTCATCGGGTTTTATAGTTATTATATTATTAACACGTCGCCGAGGATACTTTGATGGTGATAGTGTTATCAGTGGTGTTTCCACCGCCCAAAAAAGTTACGAGAGTTCGGTTGAACCAAAGTTACTTTACCACAATATTGCGTAGGTACACCAACAAAAACACAACTCCTATTCATAATTTAGTCGATTGAATAATTTAAGGAATATAAAATTTAGTTCAAAATGAGATAACCACTGTGTATTATCCTAAGGGATTATTCTTCTTCGTAAAGTTTTGTTTGACGAAGTGAGCTCTAATTTCGGATACCTTTAATTATTGATCGAAATGCAAGTCAAGGTTTTATTTACGAAATGTTAAAGCTTAAAACATTATACTGAGTTTCGTTAGTTCTTATTATAAGATTAAATAATTGATGATCGTTTCGCGAACAGTCAAAATTTCGTTTGAACGGTACAGCGGCGATTTCATAACACTATACACACCATTTGGGACTATGAAAAATCGCAGTTGCATGTCAGATTCGAGATTTTCGTTTTTGTATTCCCCGAGAGCAAACAGTACCGCTATATATTCGTTTTATATATTATCATTATTATTATTATGATCTCGTTATATTATACAACGAATTTAAATTACTATATTTACACTGTAAAACGGTTAGCTACTCACAGTGCACAGTGAGGGAAGACGCGGCGTTTACTTTGCCCTGGTGATTTTCTGCGTGACACACGTACTTCCCCTCGTCTTCCGGACTCACGTTGTCTAATCTCAAACTGCCGTCTTGCGTTATGTAAACGTGCTCGAACGTGTCCCTGTCCCCGGAAAGCTTCTCATTCCTGAAACATCCATCATTTTTATCATATTAGTATCTCGAGATTATTTTTTGAATTTTTCAAAACCATAATGCCATAATATTGTGAACCGTGATAAAGCTTATACTTAAGAAGATAAAGAAAAATCCACCGGAAAGTCCAACGTTTTAAAGACTAATATTTATTCAACCCGACGATTTGCGTCTGGTCGAGTTGTTTTAAGTAAAATGGTTGGAAATAACTAATTCTTTTTGGTGTACGAAAAAAATAATGGGTTGTGATCGGTCTATTAAGAGTCACAAGTCAGTACTCCAAACTTGAGAGAAATTATTACGTCTGTCAATGTTATTCAAACGCAAACGTGAACTCACTAGATGGACTCAAAAATTCAAAACCAAAGCTTATGAACAGAAAAATTAAATGTAAATTAATTAGGCCGTAACATTGATGTATAATATTTTTAGTTTACGTTAATTATAATATTAAAATATTTAATTTTAAAATCGTGTTACCTGTCAAAAAAATCTATACGCTACAACACCAATAATGTATACATATTAAATTAACAGTATATAGGGTATAACAATAGAAGTCCTGAAGACCTGACAGATGAAATAACTTTTGTTCTTATCAATATTTTAAAATTTGTTTTTATAATTAACATATAATCATGTGCACTACATATTATAATGCAAGCATAATATTATATAAACATTCATTTTTATTTTTTACTAATGAAAATAAATAATAGCCAATTTCTAAACCTGATATAAGAACAATTTTGATGGTAAAATATTTATCTAAATGGAGTAGTTTATTTTTAGAATTTTTTCAAATATCAATATTTTGGTTAGTAAATTAATTTATAGAACTTAATAACTTTTTTCAAAATATTATATTTTTGGGAATTTCCTGGCAGGCATGAATATGTTGCTTAAATTATTTATTAACCTATCATTTTCACAATTCATGTCATATGGTTATGTAGCATAATTTTTTTTCACCCTGTATATTATGTTGACAGTATGCTAATTATCTATAATATTGACGCACACCCAACAGTGTGGGTCCAACAAAAAAAAAATTTGCTATGTTGTTATATGAAAAAAAAAGCAACAACAAATCAATGGGGCGTCCTAAAAAAAAAAAAAATCAGTACCATGATCAAAACCTCGTTTGACAGAATAAATTCCGTAGAATGAAATATCCATTACGACCGCATATGGTATAAGACTACTGACCATGGACTACCCATGGCCTATCACAAATAGGTACAATTTGCATTTTACAGTTGCAAATCCAATTTATTAGGTAGTTAAAAACGAACGATACAATCCGAAATATTCATTCAGAAGTTTTGTCGTGCAGGTATTATACTGTTCAGTTTAAATAACTATAAATATTAAGTACATTTTGTTTTAAAATTTAAAGAATATTAGACACTCTTCGATAATACTAATAATACCCGAAAAATGAAGATAAAAAAAAAAAGCTGCTGTCGATCAAAACTATATTAATTACCTATAATGGCTTGTCCTTATGTGTTGCGCGACCCCAGTGTTCGATATTCTTTTCCAGAACACTTCCGGTTGGGGAGTCCCGCCGATTTTACACTGCAACTGTACACTGGAACCAGCCATGGCTATAGTGTCCTTCGGGGCTTGTATCATGTATGGACGTACTATAATAATATTTATAAACACGCGAGGAGTATAGAAAACGGTTAGTAAATGAGTTTGAAAATGAATTTCCATAAATGTAATTTAGTACTCACTCTGAGTCGCCAACAAAATCGGTTTGGATTTCCGGACTCCAGCCAAATTGCTAGCCACACATGTATAAGAACCGTCGTCCTCGGAGTTCACGTCACGAATGATCAAGTTTCCATTGTCTTCAATGTACCATCTAAAATTTAAAATTGTTTTAAAATTATTAATTTTTTTTTGAAAATTGAATCTTACACAAAACACATTTTGATAAATTCAATCACACCGATAGAATATTAACTATCGTATATTTTGTTTTAAGAAAACATATTACACTATATTACATTATACTTGCTTAGAATTCGATCTAATGTAATCGACGTCCATAAAATTTCACGTCCACCAATTAAATTTAAATATTCTAGCTGCTTATAAGTGTGCATATCATTTAGATAACGTTTTCTCTATTACGATTTGAATCGATATTCCCTTAACGATTCCATTCGCTTTGTTTGGAATCCTATTTCGTAGTTAAGTACATTTTATTTTATATTCAAGAAGATTTGGAGCTACAGTTTCAAGGATTTAATACGCAATTATTGTTCTTTTTTGACTTAATTCAGTTAAATATTTCATTAGTGCTAAAAGATTAATTAATAGATTGCCGATTATAAGCTGCAGTAACTGAAATTCAAAGATACAAACTTAAACAATGGCTGTTTTTCCTGCATACAATTTTAATAAATTAATAAAAATGATTTATAATAAAATATTATAACAATATAATATGACCTATATACCTACACTTTTCAGACAGAAATGCAGAATATTTGGATATACACTGTAAGTTTATAGGTATAAAAAGTCGAATTTATTATAACAAGATACAAATTAATTGTAACTTCAATTAACATAAATACATAATGTAAAATTATATTTATAAACGGAATGTCAGTATCTGAGTTTAATTCGATAGGATTAAAAAAAAACACAATTTTAACTTTAAAATGGTCAAAAATTAACGCCAATAATATATTATTAATGGCAGCTTACCTTTTTTTGCTGTCTGCCGGCATGGCTTGACCGTTTTTGTGCCATGCCACCGATGGTTCAGGATGTCCTTTGGGCGGGTCGCATTCCATGATGGCTGTGTCACCAGACGCCGGATTCACGTCCTTGGGCTGCACTCGAAAGTCCTGTTTCAGGTCTGCAAAAATAACGACCGAGTGGTGAATTTCGAGCAAACTTTTCGGCTTACCGACATTATCCGCGGGGGAAAGAGAGCAAAAAATAAAAATAACAAAAATAAAAATAATAACCGTAATAAGAAAAACAACATTTTCAGCGTACGTGCCCTGCTTAATGCGCAAAAAACAGGTGCAAACGTTAATACTCGCGCGCCCAAGTCGTCGCCCTCCCTCCCGAAGCTGCAGCGTTGTCTGCGGGGCCATAAAAGTTTAGTGCCGCTTTGTTTTCGGTGGCGTCGGCGGTGATGCAAATGAGACGAGGGGGGGTTTCGCCAAGTGCCTAATAAAACAACGACCCTCCGACCCCTATCCCCCCCATCACTTCCACAAGGAACTCCGGTGGGCACGTTGAAATATTGTAGTGATCTGAAATGATCATTTTTTTTTTCATCCCTCAGTTTCTTTAACCCCGTCATTCCACCTCCACTCCCCGCCAACTCCATCCCATAATGTCATTGCTCTTATTTAGCTCACACACACACACACACACACACACATACACCCATACGTATATATCACACACTAGTATATTATACCACTACCAAGGTGGTTACCGAGGGGTTTTCTTGCCGTGAGCTGTACGGGGCGTGGTCACGATTTTCTTGCGGCGTACCTATATAACCTACTACCCAACACACCCACCCGACTTTCTTACCACCTCACCACTATCACTTACACGTCAACCTGCTCCTAGTGTGTATATATTATTATTATTATTATCATAAGAAGTGATGTTATGCGGGTGTTTGTGTGTGTGTGTGTTCGTGCAGACGTCGTAACTTTGTTCGTATGCAGTGTTCGCGTGAGAGAGTATAGTTCGGTGGAGTGGCGACAAGGGTGAGGGTTTTGACAACAACAAAAAAAAAGTGCCGCCGAAAGCTTTCTTCGACTTAACGATAATGAAGCGCACCGGAATAAAGTGTGTATAATATAATATATAGTATACCTCCTACACAATATCCACCCCTCCATGCCGTGGCTACCCACTTTGAATATCTATAAGTTATGATTATCGTCACTCGTGGGCTTTACAACTTCGATGCATGCAAATGCCAAATTATCAACGTCGTCGACGTACCTACCTACCGATTTACGTGCGACGGGGTAAGTATAAAATATATTATATTATTTTACAACGCCAAAGCCGGCCCGTTTGTTTTACGACAAGTTATTCTTTCCGAAACTCTTCGGTCGCACTGCACCGCCTCGGCGGCTCACTTAGATTTTACATTTTAAAGGAAACGATTTAATCTGTTCGAGAATAGCAGCGGTGAGGTGACGGACTTTTTAACTTTATTTTCAGCTGTAACCCAAACTTTCGAATAAACTCACCATCTCCGACAGTGTTTGGCTTAAATATTTGTGGCTTTTGATGTTTGTACCATCATTTCTCAGTATAATATAACATATTATTAATATATTATTATAGCTGCACAAAAGTTAGTTTTAATTATTCTTTTGACGACATTTTAAAATCGAAATTCATTCATATTTTATTTTGCAATTCGTATAATTTTATCGTCGGACTAAAGGTACTATGTTAAATTTACATTATTCAACTTTATTTTCAAATCATCTGCCTCAAGTGCAATACGTAAGTAATATATAAACTGACACAGTACGATTTGTGTTGGCTATATTATAAACTTAATATATTCTTCCTTCCGAAGAATACGTCGCCTATATCAAACACTAAAGTGGTTTCGGTAAGTACAATAAACTATTATGTGTTCTACGGCGCTGTTGAATTCTACACATCACATGTGTCAGACAATCAGAGATTTGAATATATAAATATTTGGCAAATTGTCGATGTCACCTAATGGTTATGTTTTGATATTAGTTAATAATATAAAGATTATTATTATTCTCGAAAGAACAAAATAATAGTATTTCATCTCATTTTTCCAACTGCGACTATATTTTATACTACGCTATATAGTATCGGCGGGCGTCCCTTTTTTTTCCGTTTGGACGTTTTGTCCCCGAAACGAATTTCATTAGGTCTCGTGGACACCTATTGCGGGACAGCAATCGTGAGAAACATCTTAGAGGCGCGTACGAGAGGCTGTAGCTACGAAAATTCCATGGCCCTACCACATTTAACGCGTATCGCTCGCAATATAAATTCTCAGCCCGCCAAACAGACGTCTTCGTAGTGTATTTAATTTTCGTCTCTGCGGCGAGTAATAAGCCCTGTCCGGCGGACGACGTACAGGTACGTCGTCGTATATATTACATAATACCGTATACCCTGGAACCCGAACGCGGTGACGATTTTGGGATTCCAGTTGTCGGAGTCGTGCGGGTTCGTGTATATATAGATTACACGCTTGTGTATTTCGCTGTTTTTCAATTTTGACAAAGTAAGACAGATCTATATAGTCGCAGTAGTGGCGGTGGTTGTGTATAGTAGAACCTGCCCGATACAAATACGAATAATAGTCATGTATGTGTAGAACGCCGCAGCCACTGCTGCTACATACATCGTCGGTACAATATCTAAAGTCTAGTTAATTTGTTAAAACGCGGTCGTCCCCGGTGAAATGTAAGAGCGGCGGAATTACACTCGTTCCCGGCGGACGCTAATTGATGGATGTTTGCCTCGTACTCCACTCGAGTTTTATGTTTCGCGCTCACACACATGAACACTCACACACGCATACACCCACACTCGTCCGACACCCACCCACACTGGCTGTCACCGCCGCGGACTTCCCCCCGGCCGTTTCGCGCAAAGACGGATGGGCAATCGATTTTCGACTGAAAAACTCGCGCCGCCGCTCGTCCAAAGTCCGCTTCCACCACCACCTCCACCGCTGACACTGTTGTACACACGCCGATGTGGTGTGCTCATACGAGTGACAGATGACGTGCGATGAAAGGTGGCCCGAGAAAATTTATCTCTTCTCCCCCCGCCACGTCGCCGCTAATGCGAAAAATTTTCGAGCCCGCCATCGTCTACGATTTCCACCGCCGCCGCCGCCTCGTCGTTAATAATTATGACTGGCCGGACGGACACACGTGGTTAAACTTGGTTTTAACCACACCGATCACCGTGTGTTATGAACCCCAGGAAGGCTGCAAATTGGTCCATTGTATATCTTTAAGGTACCGGTTTGACGAGACCGTAACCAAAATTCGGTCGATGGACCATCGCGTGGATGATGTACTTTACACGATACTTACAACATACTGTCATATTATAAAATAATACTATACAAGTGTATTTTCTGTCTGACGACGCGATTTCTCGCTTGTAATTTTTTTTAAATATAATATTTATGGTATATAAATATATATGTATAAACATATAATTCCACTTTATGGCCATCACGGCGACTACGCGTTACGCTCGTTTCAAATTTATTATCGTACTTACGGGCTAAGGATTTATACATTTTTCTGGGTAAACATAAAATGTTTATTATTCGTAAAAATTAATAAACTTTTACCGTCAAAAGACGCACGTAATAGCACCAGAGACAATAATAATAATAATAATAATACAGTAAAATCGGTATACTCGAGTATTTAGCCCGAAATACCTGTAGATAATGACATTACCCTAACGTGGGCATTACTCTTGGCCATCACTACTTGAGATATAAATCATGATAAATTTTAACTGGCCATCTACTCAGGTTTGGGTGTAGGGTTTACCTCGACGTGACTAGATAAGTCGTGGGTTAAGCGGTCAATCTATCGAGATATACCGACGGAATAATTGATTAGCTCAGTTGTAGTTGGCAACCCGACGATTGTAGGAGTGTAAGTTACAAACGACCGAAGAAAAAAGGTTTAATGTTAATATTATAATATTATAGTAGCTATTGAAGAATTTATTATAAACGCGTTAAGGTGATGAAATTCAGTACAAAGATTAAAACCAGTTAATTATATTATTATGTTATACTATTCGGTTTTCAGTATTTCTCACTGGTATAGTTCTGTGACGATTTGAAGTATAATATAGATTTAAACCAAACCACAAATAGTAGGCATACGCGTATTATTATTATTATTATTATTATATTAGCTGATGACGGAAAAAATCTAGATGTACCTAAATTGCCTATGCAAGACGCCGTGCTACTATAGGGTAATTATTTTGCACCGAAATACATTAAATATCGTACCTACTAATGAGATACTACGAAATGGACCTGGTACAAACGCCGGAACAAAAAAACACCAACATTTAATGCCAAAATCCTGCATATAATAAATTGCTGTACACGGATAATATTTGAATTTTGTTGTATAAGATTGCAATCATAACGTATTTTAATATAATTATAGGCAGGGAATGAATACTATGATGATGTATTGATGATGTTATACATTTGAAATGTTAGAAGATAAATACTCAATTTATTATATTATATAATATGAATAATAGTATGATATGTATCGGATTTGAAATTGAAAAAAAAATATAGTAACATTTTACAATCATTTGAATGTATTATTGAGATACATTTTAAGGGTAATTCATTCAATCGTAAAATTATGTTGAATGTGTTTGTTGAAATATACAATTAATATTAGTATTCAAACCATGTAAACACACGTGCGTGTACAATGTCGTTTTCTAATAGATACTTATGCAGTTACGATATAGCTGTGTAACACCTTTACTATCGCTTTCTATATTATATACGGATACGGGATGGCCTCGATTGTTCATATAAATAGGGCCTTTGATGTATGTAATATTCACTTGCACAGACGCTGTCATACCGAGTGTACGCGGTGTGTGTGTATAGTCACAGGTTAATTGTCCAGTTGTACGTTATTATATATTATACTTATACATAATCATATTGTCGTGTTATTACTTATTATATTAATGCTAACATCATTTGTCCGTCAAGCTTCACTTTCAACAGTGTTGTATTTTTTCCTAAATTGTATTTTTATAGAAAATAATAATTTCCATTTCCATTTCTTTGTTTCTGTTTGTAAAACAAACATGAACTACTACAACGTATAATTAATTATTTTGAACAGATTTTTTTTTTTTTTTGTAGCTCGTGAAGTATGAGCGACTCTGAAAGCAATTTTTCTTCGGACTCTTGCAAAACGTCAAGTGGTGTTATTCGACTTGAAGCTGTGCTAAAGTTTGGTCACGTTTTTGTGACGTGTCTCTGAAATCTATAGTACATCTTGTTCTACAACCGTCGTGTATTACCGTGGATAATTAAAGTACATTTCTCAAAAACTAGGACAATGTTTGGTTTCGAGACGCAAAATATAAAAATAATAAAATAATGTTAATACCACCTACTCACGTTTTTTAACACTCAGTTTCGCATCCGTCGTCGTATTTTATACGAGTTGTGGAAATCATAATTATTTATAACAAGAATGCAGTGGCTGGTTATATACATATTTTTCAAATTCATTTTGTAGCCACTAAAACGCTGAACGTGTGTATGGG